TCAATGGACATCATCCTCTTCTTCCTCTCAGCACTGTCCTTTGCACTTACTTTCTTCGGACTGCACAAAATGCAAGCACAACACAAGAGAGATGCTTCCACAGCAAGGTAACCACATGCCCTGAACGAGTGAGATGCAGGATGCTGGGCGGGTGTTGTGGCATTCGTTGCGCCAACTAGTGGCGGTGTATCTGAAGCTCGCTCGTAACTCAAATTTTGGCTTGCAACTCAAAGCAAAAAAATCAATCGAGCAATGGCTCATAACTCAGAAAACTCGTAAGTCAAGGTACCACTGTATAATTATCAGAGTACAGTATATATAAAATACGCAATAATTTTAAAACATTTGAAATTTTAGAAAGTTTCCAGACACAATGGAAAAATGTGGAGCTCATGGTGAATGTAAACAAAGTGGCACATGGAGACCATATTAGTGAGTCAGGTGGGGGGGGTGAGCCATATAATGAGTATGCGCCATAATTTGAAATGTCTGTATTTGTGAAATGCCATAAAGCAAGGCCCTACTATATAACACTGATGTGTCTGAGTCGAGTATTAGGAATAATATTAGAAGAGAAGCAAATAATGAAATTAAATGTTATAAGAAGGCAGTTAGAAGCCTGAGTAGATTTGTAACCCTTTACGATAACATGAATGCAGGCACAGGTACACATAAGTACAATTATCATACATAGTATAAATTACCTAGTATAACTCCAAGAAAAAGTCAGACAAAGCAACTTGTTTCCATAGAGCAACTTGCAATGTGAACACACTGACTGATGTAGTAGCCAGTCTTAGGCTTGGTTACAAGTACTTCTGGCAGTTTGGCAGACACACAGATGATGATCAAGCCAAATGCAAAGTATGTGGCCAGCCCTATAGTCACTATTTATCACTACTGAGGAATACACACAGTATAACCTATGTGATACGTCAAGATATCTTATTAATGAAAATATGATACTAGACATATTAAGTAAATTTCCTGAATTTGCTTGCAACAGATAAGTGAACTGCAGATACAAATCCAGATGTACTCCTTTAAACCTTTTGGGGGCCTAGTTTCTAGGCCATCTGTGTATCCATATATTCTTGCACTACCCTCCACAGAATAGATATGAGCTGCACAAGAAATGTCATGATAGCTCAAGAAACTGAATAACGCGTCAGTCTGGAGTTCAACATCTCTCTGACCGCGGGTTCAAGCACAAGAAACTAGCAGCTTAAAAATAATAATAATAATAATAATAATAATAATAATAATAATAATAATAATAATAATAATAACAACAATAATAATAATAATAATAATAATAATAATGAGTCTGTGGAGACAAAGAACTTTGTCCTTGGAGGCAAAGAGGGGAATGTATGAGAGTATAGTTTTACCAACGCTCTTATATGGGTGTGAAGCATGGGTGATGAATGTTGCAGCGAGGAGAAGGCTGGAGGCAGTGGAGATGTCATGTCTGAGAGCAATGTGTGGTGTGAATATAATGCAGAGAATTCGTAGTTTGGAAGTTAGGAGGAGGTGCGGGATTACCAAAACTGTTGTCCAGAGGGCTGAGGAAGGGTTGTTGAGGGGGTTCGGACATGTGGAGAGAATGGAGCGAAACAGAATAACTTCAAGAGTGTATCAGTCTGTAGTGGAAGGAAGGCGGGTAGGGGTCAGCCTAGGAAAGGTTGGAGGGAGGGGGTAAAGGAGGTTTTGTGTGCGAGGGGCTTGGATTTCCAGCAGGCATGCGTGAGCGTGTTTGATAGGAGTGAATGGAGACAAATGGTTTTTAATACTTGACGTGCTGTTGGAGTGTGAGCAAAGTAACATTTATGAAGGGGTTCAGGGAAACCGGCAGGCCGGACTTGAGTCCTGGAGATGGGAAGTACAGTGCCTGCACTCTGAAGGAGGGGTGTTAATGTTGCAGTTTAAAAACTGTAGTGTAAAGCACCCTTCTGGCAAGACAGTGATGGAGTAAATGATGGTGAAAGTTTTTCTTTTTCGGGCCACCCTGCCTTGGTGGGAATCGGCCAGTGTGATAATAAAAAAAAAAAAAAAAAAAATAAGTACAACAAGTAAGAGGGAGGTGAAAGTGTATAAACTAAGGGAGGAGGAAGTTCGGGTGAGATATAAGCAACTATTGGCAGAAAGGTGGGCTAGTGCAAAGATGAGTAGTGGGGGGGTTGAAGAGGGTTGGAATAGTTTTAAAAATGCAGTATTAGAATGTGGGGCAGAAGTTTGTGGTTATAGGAGGGTGTGGGCAGGAGGAAAGAGGAGTGATTGGTGGAATGATGAAGTAATGGGTGTGATAAAAGAGAAAAAGGTAGCTTATGAGAGGTTTTTTCAAAGCAGAAGTGTTATAAGAAGAGCAGAGTATATGAAGAGTAAAAGAAAGGTAAAGAGAGTGGTGAGAGAGTGCAAAAGGAGAGCAGATGATAGAGTGGGAGAGGCACTGTCAAGAAATTTTAATGAAAATAAGAAAAAATTTTGGAGTGAGTTAAACAAGTTAAGAAAGCCTAGGGAAAGTATGGATTTGTCAGTTAAAAACAGAGTAGGGGAGTTAGTAGATGGGGAGATGGAGGTATTAGGTAGATGGCGAGAATATTTTGAGGAACTTTTAAATGTTAAGGAAGAAACAGAGGCAATAATTTCATGCACTGGTCAGGGAGGTATACCATCTTTTAGGAGTGAAGAAGAGCAGAATGTAAGTGTGGGGGAGGTACGTGAGGCATTACGTAAAATGAAAGGGGGTAAAGCAGCTGGAACTGATGGGATCATGACAGAAATGTTAAAAGCAGGGGGGGATATAGTGCTGGAGTGGTTGGTACTTTTGTTTAATAAATGTATGAAAGAGGGGAAGGTACCTAGGGATTGGCGGAGAGCATGTATAGTCCCTTTATATAAAGGGAAAGGGGACAAAAGAGACTGTAAAAATTATAAAGGAATAAGTTTACTGAGTATACCAGGAAAAGTGTACGGTAGGGTTATAATTGAAAGAATTAGAGGTAAGACAGAATGTAGGATTGCGGATGAGCAAGGAGGTTTCAGAGTGGGTAGGGGATGTGTAGATCAAGTGTTTACATTGAAGCATATATGTGAACAGTATTTAGATAAAGGTAGGGAAGTTTTTATTGCATTTATGGATTTAGAAAAGGCATATGATAGAGTGGATAGAGGAGCAATGTGGCAGATGTTGCAAGTATATGGAATAGGTGGTAAGTTATTAAATGCTGTAAAGAGTTTTTATGAGGATAGTGAGGCTCAGGTTAGGGTGTGTAGAAGAGAGGGAGACTATTTCCCTGTAAAAGTAGGTCTTAGACAGGGATGTGTAATGTCACCATGGTTGTTTAATATATTTATAGATGGGGTTGTAAAGGAAGTAAATGCTAGGGTGTTCGGGAGAGGGGTGGGATTAAATTTTGGGGAATCAAATTCAAAATGGGAATTGACACAGTTACTTTTTGCTGATGATACTGTGCTTATGGGAGATTCTAAAGAAAAATTGCAAAGGTTAGTGGGTGAGTTTGGGAATGTGTGTAAAGGAAGAAAGTTGAAAGCGAACATAGAAAAGAGTAAGGTGATGAGGGTGTCAAATGATTTAGATAAAGAAAAATTGGATATCAAATTGGGGAGGAGGAGTATGGAAGAAGTGAATGTTTTCAGATACTTGGGAGTTGACGTGTCGGCGGATGGATTTATGAAGGATGAGGTTAATCATAGAATTGATGAGGGAAAAAAGGTGAGTGGTGCGTTGAGGTATATGTGGAGTCAAAAAACGTTATCTATGGAGGCAAAGAAGGGAATGTATGAAAGTATAGTAGTACCAACACTCTTATATGGGTGTGAAGCTTGGGTGGTAAATGCAGCAGCGAGGAGATGGTTGGAGGCAGTGGAGATGTCCTGTTTAAGGGCAATGTGTGGTGTAAATATTATGCAGAAAATTTGGAGTGTGGAAATTAGGAAAAGGTGTGGAGTTAATAAAAGTATTAGTCAGAGGGCAGAAGAGGGGTTGTTGAGGTGGTTTGGTCATTTAGAGAGAATGGATCAAAGTAGAATGACATGGAAAGCATATAAATCTATAGGGGAAGGAAGGCGGGGTAGGGGTCATCCTCGAAAGGGTTGGAGAGAGGGAGTAAAGGAGGTTTTGTGGGCAAGGGGCTTGGACTTCCAGCAAGCGTGCGTGAGCGTGTTAGATAGGAGTGAATGGAGACGAATGGTACTTGGGACCTGACGCTCTGTTGGAGTGTGAGCAGGGTAATATTTAGTGAAGGGATTCAGGGAAACCGGTTATTTTCATATAGTCGGACTTGAGTACTGGAAATGGGAAGTTCAATGCCTGCACTTTAAAGGAGGGGTTTGGGTTATTGGCAGTTTGGAGGGATATGTTGTGTATCTTTATATGTGTATGCTTCTAAACTGTTGTATTCTGAGCACCTCTGCAAAAACAGTGATAATGTGCGAGTGTGGTGAAAGTGTTGAATGATGATGAAAGTATTTTCTTTTTGGGGATTTTCTTTCTTTTTTGGGTCACCCTGCCTCGGTGGGAGACGGCCGACTTGTTGAAAAAAAAAAAAATAATGATAATAATAATATCCTTATTTCTACAAGTACATGTACAAGGTATACAGGTCTAGCTGACATTAATGACATACTACTATATAGAAAGCCACTTGTTATGCTGAGCATTTCGAACAAATTAGGTCAGTTTTGTCCCAGGATGCGACCCACACCAGTCGACTAACACCCAAGTACAGTACCGAGTTTAATAATGGGTGAACACAGACCAACAGGTTTAAAGAAACACCCCCATGTTTCAACCCTTGCCGGGAATCAAACCCAGACCCTCAACGTGTGAAGCAAGAGCTTTTGCCATCAGTTAAAAATCAGTACAAATTTTATCTTCATAAGGAGCTAAAATAAAAACTGTAAAGTAATAAGTAATACATAAAGTGTTAAGTAACTGCAAGAAACATACAGTAGTGTGTAATGTAATATTCACTTACTGTTTCAGGCGGTAATATCAAACGTGTCGTCTTAAATCAAGCTTCTTGGAGTCAAGAACGGCTGCCACCTCACCTCGCCCTGGCCTGTGCCCTACCTCACCCTGCCTGGGCACATAACACTGCCCAACACCAGCTGCAGACAGAAAAGGGGACGAGTTGTTGTTGTTGTTGGGGTTTATAGGGCCACTTACAGCATACGCAAGGGAACGACTCTTACCAACCCGGAACGTTTTCGTTATTGGGTTGAAGGGTTGGAAGAGTCAGTGAGCTGTGTGTTGTCGATGGGTTGAAGGGTTAGGAGAGCTTGTGGGCCGTATGTTGATAAGTTGGAGGATCGGGAGGTCGGTGGGCCGTATGTTGATAAGTTGGAGGATCGGGAGGTCGGTGGGCCGTATGTTGATAAGTTGGAGGATCAGGAGGTCGGTCAGCCGTATGCTGATCGGGAGGTCGGTCAGCCGTATGCTGATAAGTTGGAGGATCGGGAGGACGGTGGGCCGTATGTTGATAAGTTGGAGGATCGGGAGGTCGGTGGGCTGTATGCTGATAAGTTGGAGGATCGGGAGGTCGGTCAGCCGTATGCTGATAAGTTGGAGGATCGGGAGGTCGGTGAGCCGTATGTTGATAAGTTGGAGGATTGACTGTGGCATTCTGTAGATGTTTATCACTGTGAGAGGTTTTTACATGTGTTTGGATTTAAATTTACCTATGATATATTCCCCTTGTTCATCTCTTGTGCAAGTACTAAATTCCCTGCATGCCAGTATGTCCATCATTACTCTCACCGAAATCTGGCTAAAGCCTGTTACTACAGATGTCTATGTTATTCCTGGTTACACAGCCATACACAACTGCAGGCCAGATTAACAGCTGTATACTACTAACCAGCCTGATCAGAAGGGCTAAAAATTGTATTATGAGAACAGATTATCCAACTTAAAAGGTGATATAAAAAAGACCTGGAAAACCCTATCATAAATTCTAGGAACAAAAAAGATATCACGAAACAGCGCAGCTGAACTAACAAAACCAGATGAACCCCAACTCCCACCAACTGAAACAGCAAACAGACTCAATGATTTCTTCTCCACCTGAATTGTATGCCATTCTTGCAGCACTTATTCGTATCGCATCTATGCCTGTCATCATTTGTGGTAGTCTCAGACTCCCTTAGTGCTCTACAGGCTATACGAAAATTTGATACATCTCACCCCCTAGTTCTCCGTATCCAACTTTGGCTATGCCGTATCTCTACCAAGCATAAAGATATTGTTTTTTGTTGGGTCCCTGGTCATGTTGACGTACAGGGCAATGAACAAGCAGACACTGTTGCGCGGTCAGCAGTACATGACATACCAATTTCATATAGAGGTGTTCCATTTCTGGACTATTTTGCTGTAATAGCTACCCACCTTCACACCCGTTGGTAACAACGTTGGTCAACTCTGCTCGGTACCAAACTTCATTCTATTAGACCGAACATAGGTTACTGGCCGTCTTGTCATCAGTGCCGAGGTTGGGAGACTACTCTCTCCCGCCTTCGCATTGGCCACACTCATTTTACTCATGGGTATCTCATGGAGAGGCACCCTGTTCCTCTCTGTGAGCAGTGTCAAGTTCCAGTATAGATTAGCCACATTCTGTTAGACTGCCCTCTCTATCAACGAGCACGCAGAATTTACATCCAACGTCGTCTCCGCTCTACTACTCTCTCTTTACCTTCCCTTCTTGCTGATGGACCCTCCTTTAATCCTGACTCTCATTGACTTCTTGACAACGACTGATTTACTCCACAAACTCTGATGATGATACCTTTCGCACTCCCCTCAGCCCTTTCTACCTCAATCTCTTGCTGCCCTCTACCCTTTCACCATCCACTGCCCCGCTGTTCTCCGTAACCTATTACTCATCTATCTCCCTTTTGCCACCTGATACCCTCGATTCCTTCCTGCCCTGCAGTGCTGTATAGCCCTTGTGGAAAATACTGTATATATTTTCCGGAAATACGGTAATTTATAGGTAAATAGATGCCCTATATTGTATTTTTAAAAGAAGTATGTTATCGAAAAAAAAGACGAGACACTCGCCATCTTGGTTTTGAATTGGATACAACGTTAATATAATGGGAAGAATTTTTCGTGCTCTAGAGGTTAAAATTGGATTGACACCTCTCAAATAGGAGGCAAAATTGTTGGATGTGCATTCCTGCATAACTTGAGATATCAAACGACTGGACAAGACAGCTCCAGGAACCTCAGATAAGCTCTCTAGATTTGTGTATAATTCTGGCCAGTGTTTTCATAAATTTAGTTAGTGAGGTTTTTCTGAATATGATACAACTTAATATCCAGTCAAATTGGTGAGTGATATTAAGATATATTTTCCTTCTGTTATGTATATGTGAATTTATATATAATCATTTTTTAATATACAGTCCACAAATTTATATATTTACCAGTATTCCTGGTGTATGTATATTTCATTTAATTAATAGGTCCAGAGCAACTTGTGGTAGGTATCGAAGGGCGACATATTTTGCGACCTAGGTGTCCCAAATTCCTACTTGTCTATGTAACATTGATAAATAATAATTATCTTTGTTATCATTTACTGTTATGTACATAATTAGTTACATTCAGATAAATGCAATTTTCCACAGCCCTTGTGGCTTAGCACTTCTTTTTTATTATAATAATAATCCACCATAGGAAAAACCCTTGCCAATAAAATCCCAAGCTCAAATAGCCCACCCAATGACTACCTCACTGGCAACTACCCGAACACACTGTTCCTAGCTCCGACTAACCCAACTGAAGTCTCCCTTATTATCAACACACTAAAAAACAAGACAGGAGATTTAAATACCTTACCACCCTTTATATACAAAAAAAGTGTCACAAAGTGCTGTCACCAATCATTGCAACACTCTTTAACAAATCCATCGAATCCTCTACCTTCCCCACAGTTCTCAAAATAGTGAGGGTCACCCAAATCCATAAAGGAGAAGACCAAACAGACTTGAATAACTATAGGCCAATATCCAACTTACACCCTCTCTCTAAAGTGTTCGAAAAATTAATTTATAAGCTAATCTATTCCTATCTCATCTCCCACAACATACTCAACCCCTGTCAGTTTGGGTTTAGGCCTAATAAAAATACGAATGATGCTATTATACACATGCTAGAACAAATATACACTGCACTAGAGAAAAAATTAGTCCCACTGGGAATCTTCATTGTTTTACATAAAGCTCCACATAAAACTGTCGCACTATGGTATAAGAGGGCACTTCCTCAACTACCTCAAGTCATACCTCAGCAACAGAAGCCAATATGTGTACACAAATGGAGCAAACTCTTCCGCACAGCCAATTACAGTTGGTATCCCACAGGAAAGTGTCCTTGGCCCTCTTCTCTTTCTCGTTTACATAAATAACCTACCAAATGCATCGCAACTACTCAAACCCACATTATATGCAGATGACACTATATACGTCTTCTCTCACCCCAGCCCAGTCATGCTAGCCAATACTGTGAATACCGAATTACAGAAAATATCTACCTGGATGAGGACTGACAAACTTACTCTCAACATTGACAAAACCTATTTCATTCAGTTTAGTAACAGAGCTGCAGATGTCCCTCTTAACATAATGATAAACGGATCACCTATCACAAAGCTCACAGAGGGAAAATTCTTAGGAATCCACCTTGATAATAGACTCAAATTTCAAACACATATACAACAAATTTCCAAGACCGTAGGCATACTATCGAAGATACAGTACTATGTTGAACAGTCAGCCCTCCTGGCCCTATATCACTCACTTATTTACCCTAATCTCACCTAAGGAATTTGTGCATGAGGCTCAACAACAATAAACCATCTCAGACCATTAATTACCCAACAAATGGCTGCTGTCAGAATGATAACAAATTCCCACTACAGGCAGCACACTCCACCATTATTCAAAACTCTAAACCTACTCACCATACAAAACATCCATACTTATTATTGTACCTACTACATACATAGAACACTTAACTCGGATATAAACTCTCCCCTCAAACGTCTCCTTACCAACCTTAACAGAACACATGACCATAACACATGGCACACATCACTCTTTGATGTTCCTCATGTCCATCTCACACTATGCAAAAACTCAATGCACATAAAAGGCCCAAAAATCTGGAATTCATTATCTGTGAATATAAAAGAAACACTCTGTTTATAAATTCAAGTCTCTTCTTAAAAATCACTTACTCACCCACAACTAAATAAATACTTAATAATTGTACCTCATAAATGTTTAACCTGTGACCCAATCAAACTTTGTTATTTTTAATTACATTACTTTATTTATTTTATTTATTTATTTATTTACAATTTGAGCACACATACAGAGGTACAAAAAAATACAGATAAGAGCAGCATGCCAAAGCCACTTATACTATGCATAGCATTACGGGCTGGCTTAAAATTAACTTAAGATTAACTAAGCAATGATGAAATCAGAGATAAAACATTAATGTAAACAGATTACTACTCACCATACAAAACATCCATACTTATTACTGCACCTATTACATACATAGAACACTCAACTCTGATATTAACCCTCCCCTCAAACATCTCCTTGCCAACCTCAACAGAACACATGACCATAACACAAGGCACAGATCACTCTTTGATATTCCTCGTGTCCATCTCACGCTATGCAAAAACTCAATGCACATAAAAGGCCCTAAAATCTGGAATTCATTACCTGTAAATATAAAAGAAACACTACCTGTTTATAAATTCAAGTCTCTTCTCAAAGATCACTTACTCACCCAAAACCAAATAAATACTGAATAACTGAACCTTATAAATGTATATCTTAAAGTTTCTCACATTTATATCACAAAAAGAAAACCTAAACCCCCAATCTAACTTTATTTTTTTTTAAAAATACACACCAAACGAATACTCCATTCTACTGAATTTATAACAAGCATCACCTATGACCGTCTTTGTAATACTCATTGTGCTTTATAAAATCAGTTTACATTAATGTTTTTCATGATTTCTCTTTGCTTATTAATTTAATTTAAATTTTTAAAACCCAGCCCAATCTATGCATAGTATAAAGGGGTTTGGCAGGGCTGCTCTTATCTGTATTTTTTTTTTTTTGTCCCTCTGAAAGTGGCTCAAATTATAAATAAATAAAAAAATAAAAAAAAATAAAGCAAAATGATTATTAAAAAGACGGGTCATATG